CAATTTTATGATAATAGTTTTTAATTTCCTTATTTCAAAAATTTTAATTTTTATGTTTAAGCTGTTTTTTTTTTCATGTCCAATTTTAAATTTTAATTTCATTTTAAGTTCTCTTCTCAAAAAATTATTTAACTTTAATTTAAATCTCAAAACTTTTTGAATTTAATTTCAATTTTATGATAATAGTTTTTAATTTCCTTATTTCAAAAATTATATTTTTTATGATTATAAATTATAAGCTATTTTTTTTCATGTCCAATTTTAATTTTAATTTTATTTTTTAAGTTCTCTTCTTAAAAATCATATAACTTTAATTTAAATCTCAAAATTTTTTGAATTTAATTTCAATTTTATGATAATAGTTTTTAATTTCCTTATTTCAAAAATTTTATTTTTTATGATTAAGCTGTTTTTTTTCATGTCCAATTTTAATTTTAATTTTATTTTTTAAGTTCTCTTCTTAAAAATCATATAACTTTAATTTAAATCTCAAAACTTTTTGAATTTAATTTCAATTTTATGATAATAGTTTTTAATTTCCTTATTTCAAAAATTTTATTTTTTATGATTAAGCTGTTTTTTTTCATGTCCAATTTTAATTTTAATTTTATTTTTTAAGTTCTCTTCTTAAAAATCATATAACTTTAATTTAAATCTGAAAACTTTTTAAATTTAATTTCAGTTTTATGATAATAGTTTTTAATTTCCTTATTTTAAAAATTTTATTTTTTATGTTTAAGCTGTTTTTTTTCATGTCCAATTTTAATTTTAAATTTATTTTTTAAGTTCTCTTGTTAAAAATCTTATAACTTTAATTTAAATCTCAAAACTTTTTAAATTTAATTTCAATTTTATGATAATAGTTTTTAATTTCCTTTTTTCAAAATTTTATTTTTTATGTTTAAGCTGTTTTTTTTTCATGTCCAATTTTAATTTTAAATTTATTTTTTAAGTTCTCTTGTTAAAAATCTTATAACTTTAATTTAAATCTCAAAACTTTTTAAATTTAATTTCAATTTTATGATAATAGTTTTTAATTTCCTTATTTCAAAAATTTTAATTTTTATGTTTAAGCTGTTTTTTTTTCATGTCCAATTTTAAATTTTAATTTCATTTTAAGTTCTCTACTCAAAAAATCATTTAACTTTAATTTAAATCTCAAAACTTTTTAAATTTAATTTCAATTTTATGATAATAGTTTTTAATTTCCTTATTTCAAAAATTTTATTTTTTATGTTTAAGCCATTTTTTTTCATGTCCAATTTTAATTTTAATTTTATTTTTTTAAGTTCTCTTGTTAAGAATCTTATAACTTTAATTTAAATCTCAAAACTTTTTAAATTTAAAAAACAGTTTAAACATAAAAAATAAAATTTTTGAAATAAGGAAATTAAAAACTATTATCATAAAATTGAAATTAAATTTAAAAAGTTTTGAGATTTAAATTAAAGTTAAATGATTTTTAAGAAGAGAACTTAAAAAATAAAATTAAAATTAAAATTGGACATGAAAAAAAAACAGCTTAATCATAAAAAATAAAATTTTTGAAATAAGGAAATTAAAAACTATTATCATAAAATTGAAATTAAATTCAAAAAGTTTTGAGATTTAAATTAAAGTTATATGATTTTTAAGAAGAGAACTTAAAAAATAAAATTAAAATTAAAATTGGACATGAAAAAAAACAGCTTAATCATAAAAAATAAAATTTTTGAAATAAGGAAATTAAAAACTATTATCATAAAATTGAAATTAAATTCAAAAAATTTTGAGATTTAAATTAAAGTTATATGATTTTTAAGAAGAGAACTTAAAAAATAAAATTAAAATTAAAATTGGACATGAAAAAAAACAGCTTAATCATAAAAAATAAAATTTTTGAAATAAGGAAATTAAAAACTATTATCATAAAATTGAAATTAAATTCAAAAAGTTTTGAGATTTAAATTAAAGTTATATGATTTTTAAGAAGAGAACTTAAAAAATAAAATTAAAATTAAAATTGGACATGAAAAAAAACAGCTTATAATTTATAATCATAAAAAATATAATTTTTGAAATAAGGAAATTAAAAACTATTATCATAAAATTGAAATTAAATTCAAAAAGTTTTGAGATTTAAATTAAAGTTAAATAATTTTTTGAGAAGAGAACTTAAAATGAAATTAAAATTTAAAATTGGACATGAAAAAAAAAACAGCTTAAACATAAAAATTAAAATTTTTGAAATAAGGAAATTAAAAACTATTATCATAAAATTGAAATTAAATTTAAAAAGTTTTGAGATTTAAATTAAAGTTATAAGATTTTTAAGAAGAGAACTTAAAAAATAAAATTAAAATTAAAATTGGACATGAAAAAAAAACAGCTTAATCATAAAAAATAAAATTTTTGAAATAAGGAAATTAAAAACTATTATCATAAAATTGAAATTAAATTCAAAAAGTTTTGAGATTTAAATTAAAGTTATATGATTTTTAAGAAGAGAACTTAAAAAATAAAATTAAAATTAAAATTGGACATGAAAAAAAACAGCTTAATCATAAAAAATAAAATTTTTGAAATAAGGAAATTAAAAACTATTATCATAAAATTGAAATTAAATTCAAAAAATTTTGAGATTTAAATTAAAGTTATATGATTTTTAAGAAGAGAACTTAAAAAATAAAATTAAAATTAAAATTGGACATGAAAAAAAACAGCTTATAATTTATAATCATAAAAAATATAATTTTTGAAATAAGGAAATTCAAAACTATTATCATAAAATTGAAATTAAATTCAAAAAGTTTTGAGATTTAAATTAAAGTTAAATGATTTTTTGAGAAGAGAACTTAAAATGAAATTAAAATTAAAATTGGACATGAAAAAAAACAGCTTAATCATAAAAAATAAAATTTTTGAAATAAGGAAATTAAAAACTATTATCATAAAATTGAAATTAAATTTAAAAAGTTTTCAGATTTAAATTAAAGTTATATGATTTTTAAGAAGAGAACTTAAAAAATAAAATTAAAATTAAAATTGGACATGAAAAAAAACAGCTTAATCATAAAAAAATAAAATTTTTGAAATAAGGAAATTAAAAACTATTATCATAAAATTGAAATTAAATTTAAAAAGTTTTCATATTTAAATTAAAGTCATATGATTTTTAAGAAGAGAACTTAAAAATAAAATTAAAATTAAAATTGGACATGAAAAAAAATGGCTTAAACATAAAAAATTAAATTTTTGAAATAAGGAAATTAAAAACTATTATCATAAAATTGAAATTAAATTCAAAAAGTTTTGAGTTTTAAATTTAAAGTTATAATATTTTTAACAAGAGAACTTAAAAAATAAAATTAAAATTAAAATTGGACATGAAAAAAAACAGCTTAAACATAAAAAATAAAATTTTTGAAATAAGGAAATTAAAAACTATTATCATAAAATTGAAATTAAATTTAAAAAGTTTTCATATTTAAATTAAAGTCATATGATTTTTAAGAAGAGAACTTAAAAAATAAAATTAAAATTAAAATTTTTCCAACATAAAATATGTTTTTCTCGTTTTTTTTTTGGAATCCATATTAGATTAAAAAGGTTCAAAAATTAATTTTCTATGAAATTTGACTCTAAGCATATCACTAATGCTAAAAAATCAAAAAAAATTTAAAATATTGAGTGACAACAACATTTTTTACTGCTTATTAATAACATTTTCCAATTGTTACTGCTCATTTTTTACTGACAGGAAAGGATTCGCAAGGTCCAAAATTAATAAAATTTTAATTTTATCCAACTAAGACAGAAAAATCAAAAATTTGTTAAAAATTAATAAAAAAATATTTTATGTTTGAAAAAACATATTATGTGACAGGAAAAATATGTGGACACATGAATATGTTTGACAGGAAATATGTTTGAAATATCGCAGAAAAAATGTGTGACATAATTTCATGTGACACACATAAAATATGTCACATATATGCACATTTTCTGTAAAACATAATATATTTTTGCAACCCTGATAATTAAAGATGATTTACTTTGTAAATCAGACTAGTTGTGATCAAAAATGTATCAGAAAAACATGAAAATTTTGAGTTTCAATACAAAAGTTTAATTAACTTCTCGAATTTACATAACCAAGCAACATGAAAAGTTAAGAAAGGTACTTGATTTAGCTATAAATGTAAATCATGAATCAGATTCACTGTAAAATCAGGCATTGCAGAGAATTTTACAAAAAAGTTACATATATGTAACGCTAGTAAAGAGCTTCGGCTTAGCCGATCATTTTTTAAGCATTTTTAATGATTTAAATAATGTAAATAATTCATATATTATTAACACGTTTTATTGCACATTCTTTTAAGTTGCCTTTTTTTTCTTCTTTATTTCATATTTCCTTTGAAATTTTTTGTTTTGAAATATAATGACATACTCTCAAATTTGCAATATACCACATTTTAAAATAACATCATGTAGGGTAAATAATTTTGAAATTTGCGCAGTTGTATGAAAATTAAAATTTTTAAATTATATCCGAAATTGCTACTTTTGTTCGGACGATCAAATAAGAATGTCTGTAGAACACCAGCATAGCTGTTTTTGCATAATTTTTTATGACATTAAGGCATCAGGAGGCTAGATAATATGCAATCAAATAAATCCCATACAAAACATAAATTTCATTAACATTCGATTTCGGGATATACATATCCGGTAGCGTTTGTTGACATTTTGGTATCAAAAAAAATGTAGATCTGATTTTGCTTAAAATAATTCAAGCGATTCCGATTCGCAAAAATTTGCGCAAAAATTTAAAAAATTTTGAAATTTGTGCATTTTTTGTCACAGTAATTAATTGATGTGAAATATTGTAAACATATTAACACACATAAACAATATCGAATAGACATGAAGACATAAGGCACAAATTATAAAAATGATTGCTGATTATATGGGGTCGTTTAATTTGTATGAAATTTTTTAGTAATTTCTTATGTTTCTCACGCCTGTGATCGAGACTTAGAAATTTCTGTGTTTCTCGTTGGAAATCCACGCATAAAAAGGCAAGATGGTGACCAGCGTCTGTGTTCGTTTACGACAACATCAAATACAGTCCAACTTTCAATTTCTATTTCACAGAAAAAACATTTAACCACATCTGGTTGTCTTAAAAAGTAGAAACCCGTTTCTGCCAGCGAATGTTTGCTGATGTGCGGGATATTCCATGTATCAAAGGATTTTAAACGCTCTCTTTCGTCAATAAATTTTCTCAGTTCAGTTAAAGATGTATGTAAGTCAGACTCTTCCCCCAAATCAGGTTCATTATGTTGGGACAACTCTTCAGGCAGCCTGTCAAAATTATTAAATGGTGTTTCATCCACAAATATCATGGAGGTTTCGAGAAGTTCATCCATACTCTCAACACTCACAAACTCTAAATTATGTGTACTTAAATTTCCAAACGTATCCACAATATTGACACTCATCACTGACTGATTGATGACAAAATAATACCCTAAACTTTTGTTAAAAATAATTATTTTATCTTTCTTTTTGATTCCCTTCTCTTTTTTCCCCACTACATAAAAATATTTATTTTTCTCCACTTAGTCATTTTACAAAACTTCAGGCAGGTAATTAAAATTTACAAAAAAAAAATCAAAACACAAGAACCAAAACATAAATGAAAGATTCACATCTATTGCATTTCGCACCTTGAATCAAATATTTCACAACAGGTGGAAGACACATGCAGGTGGTCAAAATTTACAAATAATCACCGTCAACTAAAAATTTAACAAGAGGACTTCACACCTTTAATTAAAGGACTTCACACATATATGTGAAAAAAGGATTTCACACCTCGACCCCAAAAGGTGTGAAAATTTACAAAAATTAACCCCTTATCTACTTTTGGATAAACCCTCGAAGAAAAAAGTGACAAAATTGATTTTGACTAGGGTCGCCCCAAATCCAAAATTGAAAATGTATTTCCTACTTGGTTCTTTGCTCAAAAAACTTTTAAGATGTTTTTTTGTATTTGTTTTAAGCATAAGAATATTTATGCAAAGTTTCAATCCATTTGGATAAACCCTCGAAGAAAAAAGTGACAAAATTGATTTTGACTAGGGTCGCCCCAAATCCAAAATTGAAAATGTATTTCCTACTTGGTTCTTTGCTCAAAAAACTTTAAAGATGTTTTTTTTTATTTGTTTTAAGCACCAAAATATTTGTGCAAAGTTTCAATCCATTTGGATAAACCCTCGAAGAAAAAAGTGACAAAATTGATTTTGACTAGGGTCGCCCCAAATCCAAAATTGAAAATGTATTTCCTACTTGGTTCTTTGCTCAAAAAACTTTTAAGATGTTTTTTTGTATTTGTTTTAAGCACTAGAATATTTATGCAAAGTTTTAATCCATTTGGATAAACCCTCGAAGAAAAAAGTGACAAAATTGATTTTGACTAGGGTCGCCCCAAATCCAAAATTGAAAATGTATTTCCTACTTGGTTCTCTGCTCAAAAAACGTTTAAGATGTTTTTTTTTATTTGTTTTAAGCACTAGAATATTTATGCTAAGTTTCAATTCATTTGGATAAACCCTCGAAGAAAAAAGTGACAAAATTGATTTTGACTATTGTCGCCCCAAATCCAAAATTGAAAATGTATTTCCTACTTGGTTCTTTGCTCAAAAAACTTTTAAGATGTTTTTTTGTATTTGTTTTAAGCACTAGAATATTTATGCAAAGTTTCAGTCCATTTGGATAAACCCTCGAAGAAAAAAGTGACAATATTGATTTTTACTAGGGTCGCCCCAAATCCAAAATTGAAAATGTATTTCCTACTTGGTTCTTTGCTCAAAAAACTTTTAAGATGTTTTTTTGTATTTGTTTATAGCACCAAAATATTTATGCAAAGTTTTAATCCATTTTTATAAACCCTCAAAGAAAAAAGTGACAAAATTGATTTTGACTAGGGTCGCCCCAAATCCAAAATTGAAAATGTAATTCCTAATTGGTTCTTTGCTCAAAAAACTTTTAAGATGATTTTTTGTATTTGTCTTAAGCATTAAAATATTTATGCAAAGTTTAAATCCATTTGGATAAACCCTCGAAGAAAAAAGTGACAAAATTGATTTTGACTAGGGTCGCCCCAAATCCAAAATTGAAAATGTATTTCCTACTTGGTTCTTTGCTCAAAAAACTTTTAAGATGTTTTTTTGTATTTGTTTTAAGCACTAGAATATTTATGCAAAGTTTCAGTCCATTTGGATAAACCCTCGAAGAAAAAAGTGACAATATTGATTTTTACTAGGGTCGCCCCAAATCCAAAATTGAAAATGTATTTCCTACTTGGTTCTTTGCTCAAAAAACTTTTAAGATGTTTTTTTGTATTTGTTTATAGCACCAAAATATTTATGCAAAGTTTTAATCCATTTTTATAAACCCTCGAAGAAAAAAGTGACAAAATTGATTTTGACTAGGGTCGCCCCAAATCCAAAATTGAAAATGTATTTCCTAATTGGTTCTTTGCTCAAAAAACTTTTAAGATGATTTTTTGTATTTGTCTTAAGCATTAAAATATTTATGCAAAGTTTAAATCCATTTGGATAAACCCTCGAAGAAAAAAGTGACAAAATTGATTTTGACTAGGGTCGCCCCAAATCCAAAATTGAAAATGTATTTCCTACTTGGTTCTTTGCTCAAAAAACTTTTAAGATGTTTTTTTGTATTTGTTTATAGCACCAAAATATTTATGCAAAGTTTTAATCCATTTTTATAAACCCTCGAAGAAAAAAGTGACAAAATTGATTTTGACTAGGGTCGCCCCAAATCCAAAATTGAAAATGTATTTCCTAATTGGTTCTTTGCTCAAAAAACTTTTAAACTGTTTTTTTGTATTTGTTTTAAGCACCAAAATATTTACGCAAAGTTTCAATCCATTTGGATAAACCCTCGAAGAAAAAAGTGACAAAATTGATTTTGACTAGGGTCGCCCCAAATCCAAAATTGAAAATGTATTTCCTACTTGGTTCTTTGCTCAAATAACTTTTAAGATATTTTTTTGCATTTGTTTTAAGCACTAGAATATTTATGCAAAGTTTCAATTCATTTGGATAAATCCTCAAAGAAAAAAGTGACAAAATTGATTTTGACTAGGGTCGGCCCAAATCCAAAATTGAAAATGTATTTCCTACTTGGTTCTTAGCTCAACAAACTTTTAAGATGTTTTTTTGTATTTGTTTTAAGCACTAGAATGTTTATGCAAAGTTTCAATCCATTTGGATAAACCCTCGAAGAAAAAAGTGACAAAATTGATTTTGACTAGGGTCGCCCCAAATCCAAAATTGAAAATGTATTTCCTACTTGGTTCTTTGCTCAAAAAACTTTTAAGATGTTTTTTTGTATTTGTTTTAAGCACCAAAATATTTGTGCAAAGTTTCAATCAATTTGGATAAATCCTCAAAGAAAAAAGTGACAAAATTGATTTTGACTAGGGTCGCCCCAAATCCAAAGGGGCTGTTCACTTATTACGTAACGCGAAAAAATGACTTCTTAGACCCCCCCCCCCCTCGTAACAAAATTTGTATGAAAAAAAAATTTCCTTGTTTGAACCGTAACAAAATCTTAGACCCCCCCCTCCCCCTAAAAGCGTTACGTAATAAGTGAATGGCCCCAAAATTGAAAATGTATTTCCTACTTGGTTCTTTGCTCAAAAAACTTTTAAGATGTTTTTTTGTATTTGTTTTAAGCACTAGAATGTTTATGCAAAGTTTTAATCCATTTGGATAAACCCTCGAAGAAAAAAGTGACAAAATTGATTTTGACTAGGGTCGCCCCAAATCCAAAATTGAAAATGTATTTCCTACTTGGTTCTTTGCTCAAAAAACTTTTAAGATGTTTTTTTGTATTTGTTTTAAGCACTAGAATGTTTATGCAAAGTTTTAATCCATTTGGATAAACCCTCGAAGAAAAAAGTGACAAAATTGATTTTGACTAGGGTCGCCCCAAATCCAAAATTGAAAATGTATTTCCTACTTGGTTCTTTGCTCAAAAAACTTTTAAGATGTTTTTTTTTATTTGTTTTAAGCACCAAAATATTTGTGCAAAGTTTCAATCCATTTGGATAAACCCTCGAAGAAAAAAGTGACAAAATTGATTTTGACTAGGGTCGCCCCAAATCCAAAATTGAAAATGTATTTCCTACTTGGTTCTTTGCTCAAAAAACTTTTAAGATGTTTTTTTGTATTTGTTTTAAGCAACAGAATATTTATGCAAAGTTTCAATCCATTTGGATAAACCCTCGAAGAAAAAAGTGACAAAATTGATTTTGACTAGGGTCGCCCCAAATCCAAAATTGAAAATGTATTTCCTACTTGGTTCTCTGCTCAAAAAACGTTTAAGATGTTTTTTTTTATTTGTTTTAAGCACTAGAATATTTATGCTAAGTTTCAATTCATTTGGATAAACCCTCGAAGAAAAAAGTGACAAAATTGATTTTGACTATTGTCGCCCCAAATCCAAAATTGAAAATGTATTTCCTACTTGGTTCTTTGCTCAAAAAACTTTTAAGATGTTTTTTTGTATTTGTTTTAAGCACTAGAATGTTTATGCAAAGTTTAAATCCATTTGGATAAACCCTCGAAGAAAAAAGTGACAAAATTGATTTTGACTAGGGTCGCCCCAAATCCAAAATTGAAAATGTATTTCCTACTTGGTTCTTTGCTCAAAAAACTTTTAAACTGTTTTTTTTGTATTTGTTTTAAGCACCAAAATATTTACGCAAAGTTTCAATCCATTTGGATAAACCCTCGAAGAAAAAAGTGACAAAATTGATTTTGACTAGGGTCGCCCCAAATCCAAAATTGAAAATGTATTTCCTACTTGGTTCTTTGCTCAAAAAACTTTTAAGATATTTTTTTGCATTTGTTTTAAGCACTAGAATATTTATGCAAAGTTTCAATTCATTTGGATAAATCCTCAAAGAAAAAAGTGACAAAATTGATTTTGACTAGGGTCGGCCCAAATCCAAAATTGAAAATGTATTTCCTACTTGGTTCTTAGCTCAACAAACTTTTAAGATGTTTTTTTGTATTTGTTTTAAGCACTAGAATGTTTATGCAAAGTTTCAATCCATTTGGATAAACCCTCGAAGAAAAAAGTGACAAAATTGATTTTGACTAGGGTCGCCCCAAATCCAAAATTGAAAATGTATTTCCTACTTGGTTCTTTGCTCAAAAAACTTTTAAGATGTTTTTTTGTATTTGTTTTAAGCACCAAAATATTTGTGCAAAGTTTCAATCAATTTGGATAAATCCTCAAAGAAAAAAGTGACAAAATTGATTTTGACTAGGGTCGCCCCAAATCCAAAATTGAAAATGTATTTCCTACTTGGTTCTTTGCTCAAAAAACTTTTAAGATGTTTTTTTGTATTTGTTTTAAGCACTAGAATGTTTATGCAAAGTTTTAATCCATTTGGATAAACCCT